GAAAATGGGCAAAAACGGGGTGATTTCGGTCATCCGTCAAAATATCTGAAGATCCTAATATAGGATGCTCCCCAAACCTTGCTCAGCTGATCCAGCCTGGGGGGAAGGCCAGCCCTGGGCAAAGAAACCAGCACCTCATCAGTCTCTTCCCTGAGCGTCACAGCTCGGTGATCGCGCCGGCCGGACACCACTGTAACGTCCGTTCCGGGCATTTGAACGCGACCTTCGGGGGCAAAGACATGGGCTCTAGGGCTCAGACTGGACTCCTCTTGGTCCCTTCTGATGCCCTAGGCCACACCTGGGCCTTACCTGGGGTTCTAGGGGCCGGCCAGGGTTTGCCTCCCTAAAGGGGCCCGGAGGACCTTAAAATCCCTGTGTGGTGGCGGCGTGCCGTCCTCCCATCCCTCCTCTCGAGGTTCTCGAGGTGGATATCCTTTGGCCGCGTTGGGTAGCGAGGATTGGTCCTGTAACCCGAGCCACGGAGGCGTGTTTTCTGGCGGCCGACCGTCAGTGCACGGAGTTGCCACTTCTCCGACTGCCCCGGCTAGTTCCCGAGGTCGTCGGGTGTGACCCCTTCGTCCCCCGAGACCTAGCGCGGGTGGGTTGGAGGGGGCTCGCCCCGTTCCTTCCCATCGGGCCGCGTGAGCGGCCTCGCCTCGCAGATTCGTTTTTCGCGCCTGGGTCAGGCGCGCGGGGCATCCCCCGGGTCGCTCGACCAGCGATCCGAAGAGTGGCCGCTATGCGAGGGAAAGAGCGGGGCCCACGGGGTACGCCTCGTCCGGCCCCCTCCGAGGGGGGAAGGGAATTGTGGGGTCCCCACGGGCGCCTCTCTTCGGCCCTCCCGAGGGGGGGAGGGGAGCAAGGGGGTGGGGGGGTCGGGGCGGGGGGCAGGGGTCTCGGATTTCATGGGTCTAATACTTGCCTTTCGGGGAGGGGCCTCGGTTACGGCGAGCGCAGTGGCGCGCGCCCTACGTCTTCCCCTCCTCCCCAGAGGCAGCGAGTAGGCAGCGAGAGGGGGTATCGAGCGCCTATGTATGGTTGTGGTAATGTTGACGGGCGTGGGTGGTTGGGTGGGCGGGTGGCGGGCGGGAGGGCGGATGGGCGGGAGGGCGGGCGGGTGGGCGGGCGGGAGGGTGGGCGGGCGGGCGGGGCGGGGTTGGTGTCTAGCGTCAACAGCCGCCGCAGCGCAGCATCAGCAGTAGTAGTGTAGTAGCGGCAGCAGCAGCAGCGTCCTGCGGTGTCTAGCTCTTTCAGTCTCCCTGGTCCCTCCCTTGACGTCTCTGTTTTCTTTCTTTCTGCTTTCTTTCTGGTGTGCCTGTGATAGTTAGGACTAGCACGCGCCAGTTCGCACCTGTGTCGAGCCTGTCTGCTAAAAGAAAGAAAGAAAACGGACAACCCAAGGGAGGGATGGGAGGACGGCACGCCGCCACCACACAGGGATTTTAAGGAGAGGGGTGTGGTGCGCTAGCCGTCGCCCACCCTTGGGCGTCCGCCTCTTCCTATCTCTCTTCGCAGTCTCTCGCCGATTCTCGCTGCAACCTTCATGCCACCTCGCGGTCGTCCCACTCTCGTCGTTCTCTCCCTTGTCGCTTCTTCTTCTGTCGCGTCGCTCTCCTCTGCCTCGTTCTGCGACGCCG